TAGTCTGATTTACTTCTTTGCTGGCTTTGCACCATGCACATACTGAAGTTGCATCTAAATATTTAAAATGAGTCTAAAAACATCAATAGACAAATGCATATATAAAATGCCGTTATAGAGGACCGCGTGTGTTTGCGTGCTGTTGTATTAGAAACACGCTTGTAACTCCTGGCAGAATATCAAAAGGTTCAACTACAAGAAAATGGCCGGACCTGATTTAAATCCAACTGAAGATAAATAACACACACACACACACACACACACACACACACACACACACACACACACACACATATATATATATATAAATATATAAAAAAGTGAACATAAGTCAACACTTAGAGGCGACAGTCTGTTTTATGCTAGATGCAATTGTCAGGCCACGAGTGCTGTTATAGGAAAAATAGCAGCACTCGTGGCCTGACGATTGCATCTAGCATGAAACAGACTGTTGCCTCTAAGTGTTGACTTCTATGTTGACTTTTATATTTACACACGCTCTATCTCTGATATTGAGCATTTTATCCCATAAATATAGCACATCTTAAGACTATATTTCTTCATATATATATATATATATATATATATATATATATATATATAAACAAATATATGTATTAAACGAAACAATTTTACAATGGACAATAACATTTGTGTGTGTGAATATAGGTGTCTGTTCTTTGGTGAATGTTCGTACGTACGTGTATGTGTGTATAATGTTCATGGCGTCTCTCACAAATGGGAAGACGCGGATCTTGTAAGAGAGCTTACATTGTAGTCGCTGAAATGAAGAAACGAAAAAGAGGATTTACCTCACCTCCACGCGAGGTGGGATGCGGCACGAAGCCTGAAGGAAAGATATTTGCCAACCGCCCCACGCGGTCAGATGTGGCACAAAGTCGAATTTAACGTGGGATATCCGAGCCCGTAGGCTCGGGCAAAAATTTTCCGTAGAGCCCGTAAAAAACGGGGTCGGGTAGCTGTATACCACCCCAGACGAGACTCTGCTCTTCGGCATAGCCTCATCTGGGTTCCTATCTGCCCGAAGGCTGAGAGTTCGACTAGCTGAGCTGGAGACGAATCTCCAACTAATTGCCGAAGCAAAAACCTGAAGGAAAGAGAACGAGGCAAGAAGTCGCCCAGTATTTACAGTATAGGGAGAATGACCCCTAGTGACAATTTGGGAATTAAGGAGGAGCGAACTACGACACCGTCTCCTGGCTCAATAATGGTTCAAAGGATTTGTCTTACCATCCTGTTGAAATTATAGCGGTCAACATAATGCTTCTGAATATTTACTGCTTCTTTTAGGGTTCACAGCTCCCCTATGTATGATTATCACCCATCTTGAGGTTCAATGAAATATGCAAACACTGTCGAAAAAAACAAAAAAAAAACAAAAAAAAAACGAACTCTAAGGTTCGACATGTCGCGAGGTTATTCAAAATTGACTAAGATTTAATTTCTTACTGTGCAAAATCGAGGCAATAGAAGTGAAAAAATCGTATTGCTCCGTTTCTCCAAGTAGAGAAAACCTCAGTATTTGAGTAGAGAAGACCTCGGTATTTGTGTAGAGAAGAACTCGGTATTTGAGTAGAGAAGACTACAGTATTTGAGTAGAGAATCAGTATTTGAAATCCCGTCTTTTTATTAAACTCAATCATTAATCATTGTCAGTAAAAAATACACGCCTATTTATACCACGAGGTAGGTCATTTGTTTATATAAACATAAAGATTTTATCATGCGTGTTAACTTTTATTTTTTGTTTTTTTTTACGAGAGTCTGAATTATACTGTAAATTTTCCTACTGTAGGAAAGAGTCTATGAAAGTTTAAAAGAGACAGCTACATCTAATGGCCCGAAATTCACCTCTGATCTGGGACTAAATCGCCGACAAAGATTTGAGAGCGGAATCAATCGAAATAAGAAGGATTTTTTTAACAATAAATAAACCGACTATTGAAATAAACATTTATGATTTTGTTTGTTCTTTATTTGACAAAAGAGCGAAATAGAACGAGATATGGTTTCAGAAATCTTTCATTTAATACTCACAAGATTTCATAGTCAGTCTTAGCTTCTAATTGACGAATGTAATTGATTTCTAAGTTCTTTACCGAATAAAATATCTGATGAAGTTTAATGTTTGATATACGCATAAAAAAAAATTGTACGCGTTTTGACCGTTTTGATTTTTTTGTCAAGTTAACATCTCGAGCAAGTTGAGCGATTCCGAATAGAGGCATATTTATTAACCCATATTTTTATTAAGCCTTAAGTAGGTACCTCCATAAATTCGCTAAAAATAACATACAAGAAGATGAAAAAAATGGCCAAAACTTAGTAACAACAAAATTTTATCGTCAAAATCTTTGTGATATTATTAAAAGGAAAGATCAAAAGATTTTTTTATACAAAAATTATATTTTCTTTATCCTTTTTAGAACCTTGGGAATTTGGGACCTTAAATTTGTACGGTGAATTTGAGCGTCATTTTAGCGGTGAAAAACACATTGATTTAGAAATTCTTTTGAAAACTAGATAATTGTTAAATTTTGCAGAAACTTTCAGAACTTATTCAGAAATTAATTAAATTATTTTAAAACTTTTTTTTTTTTTAGAAAATCTTGATAAAAATATTTTTTTATATATCTTTTACTCCCATTCATTTAATCTTATGAAATTGCAAGATATTCTTTATTGTAACGGCTAACGTTATATTAGTAAATTAGTTATAAGCACAAGTTCTTCGAGAATGTAAATCATTGAATATTTGTAGTTAAACTAAACAGGACTCCCAGTTACAGAAAATTTGCTCTAAATCGTAAAATAAAACATTGCTTTTAATTGCTTTAATGAATAAAATATATTATGGACACATTTTCTTAAAAAAGTTTTTTCAATAAATAGCGAATTTTTAAAAAAATGTTTTAATATTTTAAAACTTTAGTTAAAATGATTTATAAACTTTTAAATTTTTGTAGCGACCAAGTGATATTGTAATTAAATTAAAACTATATTTACTAATCATTAAAAGCTTACTACAATTCAAGCATTCCTAGAATTTTAAAAAGAAATTTGAATTTTTTAAATATATGTATAAACATGACGATTTTTGTAAATACGGATGTTCAAACGCGGCATTATTAGAAAATGAAAGAGATTTCCCTAGTAAATTTAGAATTAATTTTATAACTTTTTCTCAACACGTGTCTTTGTAAATATGATTATAAAGCTAAAGTGCATACAATTCAATAAAATATTACAATGCTTAAAATATTTAATTTTTTAGATTATTGGGCAGTTAAAAATAATTAAAAGGGTTTCACGTTGTTTTCGTCATGTTTTTTTTAGTTATTGTCGTCCTTAGTTAAATTTCCAAACACCAAGCTGTCAATAAATTACTCAACACGCCAAAAAACACTCACTTTTCAAATAAATTAATATTTGTTACAATTCAGATTAATTAAAAATCAAATAAGCTATTTTTCTCAAATAACGATTCAGAGAAGTATATATTTTTTACTTGAAAGATAATGTTGTGTTGACCGATCTGTCAGTATGGACGAATTTGTAGATTTTAGTGTCAATGTGAACGGATTTATAGATTTTACTGTCAATATGGACGGATTTATAGTTTTTACTGTCAATATGGACAAATTTATAGATTTTACTGTCAATATGGACGAATTTATAGATTTTAGATTCACCAAGATTTACTTTTTCTAAGTGCCACATAACATAGGTAATCGTGGCTCTCCACAATTTCCTATCCCTTATATCCCTTAGGAGTTTATTCCCTTTTCTAAGTTCCCCACCCTCCACTCCCGTTCCGCTGTCTATGCACATTCGTTGGGTAAGTGTCTCCCTGCCTTCCTCTATCTCTCTGACCCTCAATATGCCTCGTGAGGGTTAAGTTTTCCAAGCCCTTCGTCCTCATTATGTGTCTAAGGAATTTCAGAAGGTCTTTTCCAGATTCTGGACATAAGTGTTCTTTCTGTTGCCATTTTCTTTAAGACTTGTTCGTTGCTTCCTCGATCTTTTGACAGAATTATCAGCATAAACTCATTTCTGCTTCCTCCAGTTTTCTCCTCCTCCGTGGGGAGGTTGTTAAACATTCAGTGCCATATAAGAGAATGGCTACTACAATCCAGCAGTCGTTTCTTTGTTTCTAACGGGATTTTTTCCCGCTTCTTGGCGCCTTGCTTGGTTTTTGTAATGCTTTTTTCGCTAATCCTATGCATGTTCGGATCTCACTGCCGCATTTTCCACCCTCTGTACCTATTTTCTGTTGACATTTCCAATTTGTAACACGCATCACTGATCCGTATCTTATTGTCCAAGTCTAGCACCAAAGATATGGTGGGTTACAATGTTTCTATATTTGGAGAGGATGGGAAGGGGGCTATTCCATCGATTTGCTATCTTTGAAATCCTATTTTTTCGGTAAGGCTGGCAATATTCAGCTTTGCCAAATGTGAAGTAGTATTTTCTTACATAAAGCATCTTGTCACCTGTACAATCACTCAGATAATGTCTTGTCACCCGAACAATCACCCAAATAATATCTAAGAGTCCAAGAATTTACGATAATTCTCTGCATTTATCTTGACGCGATCATCAACTTTGAAAGGACCTATAATTTTAGCTTTTACTATCAATCAGTCAGTCAATTGCTATAACTGATACACATTTGAGCGATAAAGTCTCCTACGATTTATGGCTGACTAGGCAGAAGGATTTCCCGCCATTTCTTTCTGCGGTAGACTGGTTGCCAACCAAGTCCATAGGCTGGAGATTTTGGAGAAGAGATGGGTTCATGCCTTTCCCAAGGGTATTTGCGCGTAAATGAATGCAAAGAACTCGACTGGAATTCGAACTCGGCTCTCCGATTACTCATTCCATGCCGATATCCATTTCACCACAAATACTAACCCCAAACATTTACTCCTTCTCCCCAGCAGTTGTCTTCTAATTCGTCTTGGTTGACAACCTCCATGAAAGATCCACCCTGTAGCCCATCCTCATTCAGTAACTTTACAATATGCTTTTTTTTACCTTTTATTCCAGATAATATCTTTCTTACGACCTGTGGGTCAGTCTTTATAGGTTTTAAACTGCAAAATATAAGTATCAGAAAACCTTGCGTTATATCTATCTATCTATCTATCTATCTATCTATCTATCTATCTATCTATCTATCTATCTATCTATCTATCACTGTCTATTCCTATCTATCTATCTATCTATCTATCTATCTATCTATCTATCTATCTATCACTGTCTATTTCTATGTATGTATGTATGTATGTATCTATCTATCGTAGTCTATTTCTATCTATCTATCTATCTATCTATCTATCTATCTATCTATCTATCTATCTATCTATCTATCACTGTCTATTCCTATGTATGTATGTATGTATCTATCTATCTATCTATCTATCATAATCTCTCTCTCTCTCTCTCTCTCTCTCTATCTATCTATCTATCTATCTGACTGTCTATTCCTATCTATCTATCTATCTATCTATCTATCTATCTATCTATCTATCTATCTATGTCTCTTCATATCTAGGCTTACGACCATATCACATCATGGAAGTTTACCAATGATCATTACGATCATGGAAGTTTACCAACGTCGATCCTGGTCAGTACCTGTATGGGTGACCACTTGTGAAGACCAGGTGTTGTAAGTCTTGATGCGCGGTGATGTAATGGATAATAGCTCAGAATTTTTAATCGGAGAGCCGAGTTCCAATTTTATTTAGATTCATTATATTTTCTTACGCGGAAATACCCTTTGGAATCTTATGAATCTACCTCTTTCCCCTATGTATGGGTTAATTAGTGAGATTTATCACTGAATCATTATTATAAAAAAAAAAAATTATTACTCTAAAAATATTTTCTGGTTTTAAATAACCTGCAAATGTTTGATACGCCGTAGAAAATGAATCAATCAACAATACAATTTTTCTATCTATCTATCTATCTATCTATCTATCTATCTATGGTGATGAGAAAGCATCGGGTTATATTTTAAAATCTCATACCAACAAATCAGGAATTGTGAATATTTCTAATAAAATAAGATGAAGTTCAAAGTATTTTTATATAAAAGCGAAAAAAATTTCAAACCAAAATTGTTTGTTTGGTTAACATATTTTATTGCGAAAATATTTATATATGCAGTATACGAATTCAAATCTTGACAAACGCTTCTACATTGATATATATATATATATATATATATATATATATATATATATATATATATATATATATATATATATATATACAATGGAGCCTCCGTCGTTTTCGATATAATTGTCAATCTGCTCAGTCCCTAGGAACCGATAGCCAGACACCAGAATAAATGACTTGATTATAGTGGTGAAGGCTTTGTGCAGAACTAACCAAATCTTTTGAAGAGCCGAATACAGAGACCTAGTGCCCCGTGTGCCACAAGGTCCCCAAATGATCCTCTGGACTATTGCGTTTCACATGGAACAGACTGTCGCCTCTGGGTGTTAACTTTAAGGTCCACTTTTATATTTACATACGATCTGTTCCTGATATTGAACATTTTTACACATAAATATAGCATACACTAACACTTTATTTTACCATATATATATATATATATATATATATATATATATTTATATATATAAAGGAAAAATGTAAAATGCTGGAAAAAATAAAAAATTGATTAATTTTTCCTTGTCTGTCATATTCAAGTAAATATCTTTAATAGAAAGTTGTTGCTCATATATATATATATATATATATATATATATATATATATATATATATATATATATATATATATATATATAAAGAAATATAGTTTTAAGGTGTGCTATATTTATGGGATAAAAGTGCTCAATATCAGAAATAGAGCGTATGTAAATATAAATGTTAAAAGTGAACATTGAAGTCAACACTCAGAGGCGACAGGCTGTTTCATGCTATTATTGTGTTTCATTCACGGCCTGACGATTGCGCCAAGCATGAAACAGCCTGTAGCCTCAGAGTCTTGACTTCAATGTTCTATATATATATATATATATATATATATATATATATATATATATATATATATACGCAAAAATTGACATTGAAGGCAACACCCAGATGCAACAGTATGATTCCTGTTAAACGCAATCGATTGCGTTTAGTAGAATGTCGCCTCTGGATGTTGCCTTCAATGTCTATTTTCATATTTATATATTTATATACCTTCTATCGCTCATAAATATAGCACCCCTTAAACCTATATTTTAACACACACACACACATATATAATTTTTTTTTTTTTTTAGGAAAATTGCAACGAAAACATCGTAAACTCGCTACACAATTCCAGACGTTTTTCGATGCGAATCAATGCATCTCATCAGGCAATTGTAAATTATCATTTTACCTGGATACAGATATTTTTAAGAAATGGTATTTTTTATTACTGTAATTTTATTCCATCTATACCAACCTTATATTCGGATACACACGAAAATATATATATATATATATATATATATATATATATATATATATACTATACTCTCATATATATATATTATTTATTTGAGGATATTAAATCGAAAACATGTTTAAAAAGTTTCGCTACACAATTGCTATCGTGTCTCGACGCATATCAATGCGTCTCCTTAGGCGATCGTAAATTACTGGTGAATCTCTTTTAAATTAAATGTTACGAACGTTGGAATTGTACTCTATTCATTCTGATCTTACCTGTATATATATATATATATATATATATATATATATATATATATATATATATATATATATATATATATACTATTAGAACATTCTCTTCCGAGCATGAGACCCGAATTCGAATCTCACCATGATAGATTTGAGGAGGAAGCGACTTCTAGGCGACCCCATTGTGCGGCATCTTTAGAAAGTGCCTGAAAGCCATACGACGGGTTGTTTGAAATCCTGTGAGCTAAAAATTGGATAGTAGAGACCATCAATGGTTGTGTTAGCCTGAAGTCATAAGTCGTTTTCACTGAGGATTTGAGTTTGTTGCTTAAAATGCTGACCATGGCAGAAACTGTAAGTAATGTCCGCCTAGTATAGTTGCAGTATAAATCACAGTTTTCTTTTATTAGGCATATTGATAATGGCGTGTCTCTCGTTGAAAATCTCCATGAAATTGTAAACCTTTCTAATAGATGAGACGACCTCACAGCAACATATGGTGTCATCAATACAGACCTTCTCGTATATTAGAATCCGTCCTTCAAGGACTGACTCCACTGAGTCGAGGTAATAGACGAAGTATATCGATCCACTCAGTCGATATATGACTGGTAAGGACCCCAATACGGAACATATCAACACTCATCAGGAGTAAGACAAAGCGAAAATGAATGCCCCAGTCGTTTTTATCTATGCTCTACGTATATACAAGCACAGATGTGAATAAATAGTCACTGATTCCATGCCAAATCTATTAATAGAAAACAGAATTCTTGCTTTTCGAGGCCAATGTATGGATAATGTGGGGGCTATGCTAATGACATAGGTGTTTATAGTCGGTATAACAATGATCTTGAACACAAAATAACATCATCAAATAAAACATTTATTTCTTATAAAAATATAAGCTGAAATCCATATTGCTGTCACATATGGTCCGATTCCCGTGTCATATACATTGAGCTTCGTGATTAAAAACAAAGAAGAATCAGCAATATTATCAGTCCTGATCTGGCAGTTCGGCTTCAGTCATTTTCCCACCGCCGTAAAGGATGCCTCTCTGTGTCTTTTCTATAAATACGTTCTAATTATTCGGATCAGCTCTTCGCTATGGTTTCTTTTCTCGCACTTTTCGCTTGTGGAACTCCCTTCCGGCTCCATGTTTTCCAGCCAACTTTAATCTGCAAAAATTTAAATGCAATTTGCTGTCCTCTTGATTACTCTTTTCTCTTTCCGCCCATTATTAATGTTTCTCTTCCTAATTCTTACCCAGTAACCTATTGTGTCTTAGTGGCTTTATTGCCTTGCTTTTTGAACTCCCTTCCAGTTCCATGCTTTCCAGCCAACTTTAACCTTCAAAAATTTAAATGCGATGTCAATCATTATCTATTGTCCTCCTGATTACTTTTTTCTTATTTCCCGTTCATTATTAATGTTTCTCTTCCTAATTCTTTGACACCCAGTAACCTATTGTGTCTTAGTGGCTTTATTGCCTTGCTTTTTGAACTCCCTTCCAGTTCCATGCTTTCCAGCCAACTTTAACCTGCAAAAATTTAGATGCGATGTCAATCACTATCTATTGTCCTCCTGATTACTTTTTTCTTTTTCCCGTTCATTATTAATGTTTCTTTTTCCTAATTCTTTGACACCCAGTAACCTATTGTGTCTTAGTGGCTTTATTGCCTTGCTTTCTGAACTCCCTTCCAGTTCCATGCTTTCCAGCCAACTTTAACCTGCAAAAATTTAAATGCGATGTCAATCATTATCTATTGTCTTCCTGATTACTTTTTTCTTTTTCCCATTCATTATTAATGTTTCTCTTCCTAATTCTTTGACACCCAGTAACCCCCTTCTGACTTAGTGGCGTTACTGTCTTGTTTGGGATGAAACCTATTTAAAAAAAAGAATGATATAACCACGATTCAATAATCCGTAAAATCTCTTCTCGCTTAATGTGCCTAGACGAAATGAATAGATTGTTAATCTTTAAAATATAAAAAAAAAAGAAAGCAAATTTCTTTTTAAAATGCTATCCTCTTTCGATTTTACCTTCAGATTTGTCGGAACATCCGACTTTATGAGTTGGCAGATTTTCGTTTTTTTTGTTTACGACAACAAAGTTATTATTGTTATTTTGATACTGGCAAGGCAACCATGAGTATGTTTTAACATACCCTTGATAATAATCTATCCGTATCATTATTTCTCTTTGAAAATTTGGGATTGACTTGTAAAAAAAGAAAAACATATCAGAAGCAGACAATAAATCATTTTGTTAAATATGCATAGACTTAAGCGAGTGGAATGGGTTTGCGTAAGGCTAATTGGCGTATGCTGTTTAAAAGATGGCGTCGATAATCAAATTTTTTTTAAATGAAGAAGAAGAAGAAGAAGAAGAAGAAGAAGAAGAAGAAGAAGAAGAAGAAGAAGAAGAAGACGTACTGAGTAAGAAGAGGGAGAAAGCAGAAGATGGGTGGACAGAAACTAAAAACAGATATAAAATAAAGAAATAGAAAAAAGCATGTTAAAATTCGAGAAAGATGACTCAGAGAATAATGGATGGAGTGAAAGTTAATAAGATACTTAGAAAGAAAAGCGTGTTTCATTAATTAAAAAATTGTGATGAAAAAAAAGATTCTCTTCAAAACACAATGAAAGATAATAGATTTATTCGCTTACTACGGCTTATCAATCCATTGTAGGGTTTCCTGGATAAGACGACAAACTACATCTAACAGCAAGGCCTCTGATCAGAAGCTTTTGAGAAGCGTAGAGCCACCTCTTAAATGTTGGTATTCCCAGGTCTACTCTAACCCGGGGTGATAGCACTTGTTAGGGTCACAGCTATGGGCAAATAGTTAATCTCCAAACTGGGGTCGAAACGTGTAAAAATAGATTGTATTACCAGCATTACATTTTTAGAAAAATATTACCAGCAATACATTTCGAAACAAAAATATTACCAGCACTAAAAATCTTGTAGACATTAAATAACAAAAACCCTTTGCAGGTTATTTAAAGCAAGAAAAATGTTTATATTGTCAGAATTTTTGGAGATAATAATGATTTATTGATACAAGTCTTGCTATTTAACCCATAGCTGGGAGAAGAGGTGGATTCATAGCTTCCCCAAGTGTATTTGAATGTAAGGGAATATAAGTAACACGACTAGAATTGAAACTCTGCACTCCGATTTTCAATTTCGAAACATTATCCATCGCCCCCCACCCCCAGCAGACCTAAGCTTACAGTATCTGATATTCTCAACTATCACTTATCTAG